CTCGCCGCCGCCGTGCTTTTGAATTGTGGGCGAGCATTTAACTTTTTAAAATAGCCCGCATACGCATATAACCCGCAGACGCATATACCCCGCAAAAATAGCGTTTTGTGTGAAAAAAATTCGGACAGCCCGCACCTCCATATACCCCGCATGCATTCATATATTTAACGTCGTTACCGCAGCTTAATTCCATCATTAATACGAAGTATACATTTGTAATACATTCCACTATCAATTGTTAACATTAAAATCATAACGTGCACAAAGAAAACAAACTAACCGGAAACGAGTGAACTTTAAACCGTAAATAAGTAACAAAAGTAAATATCCAATAAATAAGTAACACAAATGGTAGATAAGTTAGTACAGTTTTAGCACTGGTAGATTGCGCACTGAGCAGATTATAGCAGAACTACGGTAACTCCGTCGCCTCGCCCCCACCTCTCCCCCCCCCCAGCTGCCCCAACCCCCACCTCTCCCCACAGCTGCCCCACCCCCCAACCCCCACCTCTCCCTCCCCCCAGCAGCCCCAACCCCCACCTCTCTCCCCCCAGCTCTCCCGTCGCCGGTAAACAGTGCGCGCAATTCAAACATTGACGTTTAATTGTACAAACAATTCATTTAAAACGTGATAACATGTGCAATTTTAGTGTGAGTGGTTTATTCGGCAGTGGTTTAGTCAAAGGTAAGTGTTGCATAGTGGATAGTCCTACCATTAAATTTTTTTACGAGTCACACGTGTAAAAAAATTTTTGGATAGCCGCACCTCCATATACCTCGCAGGGTCTTGTTTTGTTTGTAAAAAGTGGTATACCCCGCGGGTTATATGTAGGAAAATATGGTACCTAAAGAGGTTGCATTGACGTTGACCTTAAGTCCCTCATTTACCCCAAGCATGTGCTTTGGTAATTGAGATTTTTTTTGAAGTACTGTTTGAACATCCTTTACGTGAACCACTTTTACTCTTAATTAGGGCCTTATTCTGAGACAGTATTGCTCTGGTTTGGCATCGTAACACAGTTAATCTCAGGCTCAAACCGCTTGGTTTCTTGTGAAGATGCCCGAGCAACGCTGCTCAAGTTAAGCATGGTTTTAAGCCCGGCTCGCTTGAGCCCAGAGCCTAGCTGTGGTTAAGAATACAGGCTTTGATGTCCCTTCGGAGACTTTGAATGACCGGCACGAGCGGTGTAACGTTGATACGTGTGCTCTCTGCGCAGGTGTGTGCGTGCAGACTGAGACGGTGCTACGCCAGGCTATCGGCGAGCGCATCAAGCCCGTGCTCATGATGAACAAAATGGACCGCGCGCTCCTCGAGCTGCAGCTTGAGCCCGAGCCACTCTTCCAGACCTTCCAGCGCATCGTTGAGAATGTCAACGTCATCATCTCCACCTATGGCGAGGATGAGAACGGACCCATGGGAAACATCATGGTATGTGCATCTGTCATCTGCGCATGTGCAATGTAGTACAGGCATACCCCATTTAGCGCGGGAGATGCATACCTGGAGAACGGCAGCGCTAGGTGAATCGGTGCTATACGGCAGCGGTCCACAACCTTTTTGGCACCAGGGACCGGTTTCCTGGAAGACAATATTTTCACGGACCGTGGGGGGGGGGGGTTCATCATTGGGTCTTTCACCCTTTTCAAAGAAGCTCTCCAGCGACGTTTGTTTTTTACTCAGGCCACGGACCGATACCGGTCTGCGGCCCGGATGTTGGGGACCCCTGCTATAACGGGGTCCTAGCATAGGCCCAATGGAGATGTTCCCAACAGTAATTTATCACCTACGACCAACAAATTAGTGGTTCATTGGGTTATTGGAACAATAATACAGTTAAACATGAGTTATAAATACTGTTAATGGTACAGCATTTTTTATAAGATAAACATTGTACTTACTAGTGCATGATGAGACCCCGATATGGCAAACTTGGCACAGCTGGGAGACAAGATGAGTTATAGCTTGCACCTGCTGGTGCAGTCCAATCTGTGACTTGACTCCCCCCCCCCCCCCCCCCCCCCCGATTCTAGAGGAAAGTGCTCATTGGTGAAGAGCAAACTCCTTGCCATCTTGAGTGATAGCGCTTGCTCATTGGCTGAGGGTGGAGAGCATACAATGGTGCTAATACTGCACCGTATTTGGATGAGAGTACACCGTGCTAACTCGAGTACAGCTTTTCATCCTTTTATTAATGTTTTAGATATACAAAATATATATTTTTCAAGTAAAATATTGCCCAAGAACAAACAGCTCTATGACGAGTCGGCCGCTATATGGGATAGCGCTAAACGGGGTATGCCTGTATTTTAAACTGGAGATGAACGGTGCAGATTTTTGCATATCAACTTCCGTTGCACAGAAAAATGAATGCACATATAATGCATATCCTTTGTGTGGTGTTGAATCTACTTGTTTTTCCAGCCTGCACTAATTTTTTATTGTGATGGGTTTTCTCATGATTTTCAGATTTTAATTATTGTTGCCTATAGGCAAGTGCTAATGGGGTGCCGATAGTATAAAGGTAAACACTCTCTATACATGTATGGAGCTCCGGGAGGCATATTTCAGTAGTGAACAATTCATTACTGTCCTCAAGAGTCCCAAGGATGAAACTGTACAGTTGTATCTGTCCCACTGCTGCTTGTCAGTTGGTCATATTTTTTCTCGATGGTCTAAGACCATGCTCACATTACAGTTCTTAACTGGTGGTTTCCTATATAAGCTTTTTGCGCACGGTACAATACAGGTTGTGGGAAGGGCTTGGTCTGAATCCACCCACCTGCCTGTTTTGTTTGGACTGTTGAGGCCAAAAGGGCTTTTGTGAACCTGACAGGATCAAAGGATCATAAAACAGACATTTTAGAGCAAAGATTCAAGCTGTACGGCAATATTCAGCCCTTGTTTCCGCAGCATTGCAGTACGTGTTGTGAGCAGGAGATTGCCACCGTTTACCTTGACATACTCGGCGGCTTAATACGGCCATCACGGGTAACTAACGCTAATGTCCGCCATTTTTGCAGGTGGACCCAGTGGCAGGCACAGTGGGTTTTGGTTCCGGCCTTCACGGCTGGGCCTTCACCCTAAAGCAGTTCGCTGAGATGTACGTTTCCAAGTTTGCCGCCAAGGGTGACAAGAACATCAGCGCGACTGAGCGCTGCAAGAAGGTGGAGGATATGATGAAGAAGCTGTGGGGCGAAAGGTGAGCGCCAAACACTGTTTTTCACACTCTCGGTGATGTTAGCTGCCTGCATGAGTTAAGTTTTGCCTTTTAGTGCCCGATCACATGGCGTGTGCTTGGAGGCTATAAAGTTGAGGAAACCTTAACTTGAAAAACTGACCCATTGTAGATATATACCTAGGCTGTTTGACTCGCCAGTTCTAGGTGAGTTTGAGCCTAAGTAATGAGAAATACTTAAGTGACTTTCAGCCAAGTGACTGTCGTGACAATGTTCTGACATCACTGCAGCAATTGCATTTTTAAAACGGTTTATTGTGAAGTTTTCAAATTGTGTCGGACTGCTGAGGAAAGACAGCCCGAGATGAGACCTTGTGTTGTGCCTTAAAAGGATGTTAGACTTCGGGTGCGAAGAGGTTATTTTTATTCAAGATAATTGTTTGCATAACCACTGTACATGGGCAATCTGAGTTGGTGGAATTGGTTGTTGGGGGGGACCATAAATAACCGGCTTGGGGTGATTTTCGAGAGTCGGTCGTACAGCACTGCTTGCATAACTTGTGGGTCTGCAACAGGTATTTCGATCCCGCAACCATGAAGTTCAGCAAGTCTGCCACCAACGCTGCTGGAGAGAAGCTTCCGCGAACCTTTTGCCAACTTGTGCTGGACCCCATCTTCAAGGTGCTTCTCGCCCCAAGCTGGGTTCCCCTTGCGCACATCTTGCTTGACGTTACATACCCCAAACGGTCATTCAGCACCATCTTAAGGAGAAACGTGAAGAAGCATGCTTAATCATGAGTGGCTTGGAAATCACCTTCACACGGGCTATCGAAACCCATTGATTCTGTTAAATTCTCTCCCCATGATCTGTTATGTATAAAAAAGGCATTTCCATACTAGATTCGAAGCTTTCGTGACTGCAGGAATTATTCTTTGGTTCTTTCGGTAAAGTTACATAGAAATAAATAAAATAATAATAGAATACGACGTTTCGATTGCAACACAAGCAACCATCAGGTATAAATGAATGAGAAAACAAACGGTAAACTTGGAAATATTATGCAATACAACAGTCTGCCAACAAAACAGTCAACATCCCACATGGTTGATTACGTTTTTCCAAAGATTGCAAAATTTGAGAGACAACATGGACACGGAGACACACAAGCAGAGAGACTCGCACAGACAGAGGGGGAGTTGTGTGGAATTCCTGCCCATAGCGGCTGAAGGAGAGAATGGACCCATAAAAAGCACGGTGGAAAGCAAAACGTCGTATTTTATTCTTTAATTTATTTTTACGTGACTTTACCGAAAGAACCAAAGAGTAAGGCATCCCAATTGTTCATCAAATCAATTTGATTCCTTTGCTTACGGGGCATGCATCGAAACCATAGTTTTAAAAATACATTTACAATTTATTTTTGTAATTGCTTTGTGTGGCTTCTACAGCCACTATATGAATTGCATTCACTGGTGTGTAAAAGTATATTCTTGAATGTTACATTTGGGCTTCTGGAGCGATGCATCCAAACAAAAAATCTATTCTTGAAACAAGACCATGACCCGAAATCGTAATGGTTCATCAAATTGTGGAGGCATTTGTTCGCAAACAATTTAGCTTCCTTTGCTGATGCTAATATTTTCACACAATGGACACATTTGATTGGCAGACCACTCGGGCAATATTTTGGTAGATATAAATGTTTAACTCTCCATTGTTAAATTGGTTTTAAACTGCAGTAATTGAGGGACTAATGTGCCCATTTGCATGGCAGTATTTAGCTGCAGACCAGTAATGTTTCGTGCTGGCAGGTGCGCAGTCTTGATGATGACGAAATAAAATTCTTCACTTTGACCTGATCTTCATTGATGAGGACCTTTGTTCTGATTGACTGCGCTCCTGCTATGATGGGTGGGAGCTACATCGCCATTGGACAAGACTGGTTTTATGCAACTCGCTTGTTTTCTCTCCGCTTTGCACAGGTGTTCGACGCCATCATGAACTTCAAGAAGGAAGAGACGGCCAAGCTGGTTGAGAAACTGGACATAAAGCTGGACACAGAGGACAAGGAAAAGGAGGGAAAGCCCCTGCTCAAGGTGAGGCTTGAGCTTGCTGTCTCATGCCACCGTTATTCAGGTTGTTGGTTTATTGTCCACTTTACATAATTTTTTGGAATGGGCTTATCAATCCCAAAATTCATGGTACAGTGGTACCTCAGTATACGTCGTTAATTAATACCGAAAATGACGTATACCAAACAAATTGTTCCCATAAGAAATAAAGGGAAAGGAAATAATCCGTTCCAGAGTATAAGAAATGATATTTTATATGGCATATTATACATTAATGGGGTTGTATAAAATAATGTAGGCACTACTTAATACTAATATGCATACATAAATTAAAATAAATACATAAATAAATTAAAATAAATAGAAATAAAAATAATATTTTACATCACTACCTTGCGAAGAGGAGTTGATAGCCTATGAGGATGGTGGTGAGGAGGAGATGTTATTTTTTGGAAGGAGAGTCCCCTTCCATTAAAACTTCAGGAAGCTGAAATTCTGGGGGGTTTTTCTCCTGTCTTTGTTTCTTGACTTGGACCTGGTTGAGGCTCACCAGGTTTGAGTTTTACTAAACCTGTCCATTGAAGTTTGTTTTTTCCTTCTAAGAATGTTCCTGAATTGAGACATTGTCTGGTCATTCCACACAATATCGTTACGCTTGTTAGAGCCGTAACAGTATTGTGTATGTGGGTACTGTACGCGGTGACTCATCCCGACCCATACAAGTTCTAGCAAGTGCGTCGTATCCCAAGCAAGAAGTCGTATCCTAAGACATTTTTTTCTCGTCAAAACACGACGTATACCAAATTCGACGTATTCCAAAGCGTCGTATACCAAGGTATGACTGTATTAGTAAAAAGTTATGATATTGCTACGGCGAACGTTAAAGCCCACAGCACATTCAAATGTGAGTGGCAGGTGTCAATAACTCCGTGGTCTGCTTCATCAGACACATTGTTTGGTTGTTGTGAAACATTTGGATGTTTGCACAAACCGATAATTATTATTTTTGGTGTGTGGTTATGAACGGTCATAAGTTATTTATTAGCTCTTGTGCATTGAGGTAGTCCTCAAATAATGTGTCTAGCCCTGAGCCAGTGGTGAAAATTCCACATTCCTTTGGCCGTAGCAAGTTTATCCATAGGACAAACACATTTTGCTTCCCCACAATGTAGCACTCGTCAAAAAGCACACCAACAACGCTAATTGTGCATTTTCCGCATGTGTACGTTTGTCAGGCTGTGATGCGCCGCTGGCTGCCTGCTGGGGACGCCCTGCTGCAGATGATCACCATCCACCTGCCGTCGCCCGTCACGGCTCAGCGCTACCGCTGCGAGCTGCTCTACGAGGGACCTGGTGATGACGAGGCTGCCATGGGTACGCTTGAACGCATGCTGCGCTCTTTGACTTAACCTCCGTTGTGTTCAAGTGATTGCATTAAAAGCTCCTGATGAAAATTTAGTAGCCGGATGCATGAAATGTCTTGAGTGAAACGGAAGTTTTTACCAATAGTTTAACCATCTGTAGACTACACCTGTGCGAAAGTAAGTTGCTGTTGGCAATCCAAGTTTCAGAGATGCGTTGTTAACAAAGGACTTGCAGGTCTACAATGTATAATCGATGGATAATGAACTCCATATTATCAACACGTGGGGGGGGATGGGGTTTGGGATTTGGAGAGGTGATGTTGTGCTGCACCATGCCAGTCAAGCTGGAGAGGTGATGAGAGAAGTAGGCTGGCACTTGGATTGTGTTGATTTTATAATCACGATTTTAGCGTATTCATCACATATTCTTGTGCTATTTAAAATTCGTGGGGTTGGATTTTAAATGTTTCCGGCCGTAGGTGCGCTACTTAGCCGATCAAGAAGTAGTGAGCCATTGGAGCGGTATAGAAGCCCACGCGACTCCCTCTCAGCCTGCCTCTGGCTGCCACTGTTTACACGCGAGTGCTTTCCTTGACAATTTTTTTAAATTACCTACTGTATAATATTAAATTAGATTTGCACTTTTAAATATGTTTATGTTAATCATAATTACAGGTAAGCTAAATACAATGACTATATACATATTAATATCCGTACAGTTTATGTTTTAATATAATTATTGTTTATGCCCCCTAACCCTAGTTTCCTCAAGCTTTTAAGTATTCATATTTTCGCGGATTTAATATTTAGATCCAACAAGAACGTATATCCCCCGCGAATGAATGGTTTGCGGTGACGTGTCTAAGCAATGATGAAGAACAGCAAATGAGACGGATGGCTGTGTTATAAATGGGGTAGATTTATTTTGATAGGTTTTACATCTGGCGTGGGAAACAATATGGTCTGATAATTAACAAAAATGTGGCTAGGCATCCTGATGTAAATTTGGGTACCGTGTCTTGACTGGTCCCAGGCATAAAGAACTGTGACCCCAAGGCACCACTGATGATGTACATCTCCAAAATGGTACCCACCACCGACAAGGGCCGCTTCTACGCCTTCGGCCGCGTCTTCTCGGGCGTCGTGTCTACCGGACAAAAGGTCCGCATCATGGGGCCCAACTATACCCCCGGCAAGAAGGAGGACCTGTTCATCAAGCCCATCCAGAGGTGGGTGGTGCGCTCATCACATGACACTTTCATTGAGCTCCTATCGTTCATGTAAGTGAGCTTTGAAGTTCCTCTAGCTTTTGAGCTGCTTCAGCTGGCAACATTTGAACTCTTCGGTTGGTGTTTATTGGTGCTGTCTGCGACAACACTTAATAATTAATCCTCAAGTAAACCTATATAATTAAGTTTCAGACGTCTCGGATGTTATCGTGATCGGAGAGCTCTTAAACAAGTTTGGATGCCCAGACAGTTTGTGTTGCGAGGACTTCATTTCAGCCAGGTCTGTCTCTTTGAGTCTAACCCAAAAAATATTTTCAGACCTGACGCACCACATCGATTTTATATTTCTCATCTCACGAGCTGTACAGTGAGGGAAAAAAGTATTTGATCCCCTGCTGATTTTGTACGTTTGCCCACTGACAAAGAAATGATCAGTCTATAATTTTAATGGTAGGTTTATTTGAACAGGTGCATTTTAATTAGGGTAATAAGTATTTGACCCCTCTGCAAAACATGACTTAGTACTTGGTGGCAAAACCTTTGTTGGCAATCAGAGGTCAGACGTTTCTTGTACTTGGCCACCAGGTTTGCACACATCTCAGGAGGGATTTTGTCCTGCTCTTTGCAGATCTTCTCCAAGTCATTAAGGTTTCGAACCTTCTGCTCCCTCCACAGATTTTCTATGGGATTAAGGTCTGGAGACTGGCTAGGCCACTCCAGGACCTTAATGTGTTTTTTCTTGAGCCACTCCTTTGTTGCCTTGGCTGTGTGTTTTGGGTCATTGTCATGCTGGAATACCCATCCACGACCCATTTTCAATGCCCTGGCTGAGGGAAGGAGGTTCTCACCCAAGATTTGATGGTACATGGCCCCGTCCATTGTCCCTTTGATGCGGTGAAGTTGTCCTGTCCCCTTAGCAGAAAAACACCCCCAAAGCGTAATGTTTCCACCTCTATGTTTGACGGTGGGGATGGTGTTCTTGGGGTAATAGGCAGCATTCCTCCTCCTTCAAACACGGCGAGTTGAGTTGATGCCAACGAGCTCCATTTTGGTCTCATCTGACCACAACACTTTCACCCAGTTGTCCTCTGAATCATTCAAATGTTAATTGGCAAACTTCAGACGGGCATGTATGTGCTTTCTTGAGCAGGGGGACCTTGCGGGCGCAGGTTTTCAGTCCTTCACGGCGTAGTGTGTTACCAACTGTTTTCTTGATGACTATGGTCCCAGCTCCCTTGAGATCATTGACAAGATCCTCCCGTGTAGTTCTGGGCTGATTCCTCACCGTTCTCATGATCATTGCAACTCCACGAGGTGAGATCTTGCATGGAGCCTCAGCCCGATGGAGATGGACAGTTCTTTTGTGTTTCCTCCATTTGCGAATAATCGCACCAACTGTTGTCACCTTCTCACCAAGCTGCTTGGCGATGGTCTTGTAGCCCATTCCAGCATATTGTGTTAGGTCTACAATATTGTCCCTGACATCCTTGGAGAGCTCTTTGGTCTTTGCCCATGGTGGAGTGTTTGGAATCTGATTGATTGATTGATTCTGTGAACAGGTGTCTTTTATACAGGTAACAAGCTGAGATTAGGAGCACTCCCTTTAAGAGTGTGCTCATAATCTCAGTTCGTTACCTGTATAAAAGACACCTGGGAGCCAGAAATCTTTCTGATTGAGAGGGGGTCAAATACTTATTTCCCTTCATTAAAATGCAAATCAATTTATAACATTTTTGACATGCGTTTTTCTGGATTTTTTTGTTATTCTGTCTTTCACTGTTCAAATAAACCTACCATAAAAATTATAGACTGATCATTTCTTTCTCAGTGGGCAAACGTACAAAATCAGCAGGGGATAAAATAATTTTTCCCTCACTTGCTATTTGTCACATGCCTCTTACTCCAGTTGACCAGTGGCTTGGGAAAAATTCGATGATAAATTAAGTGCTCTTGCACCCTGTGTTAAACTGTCTCAAAGAAACAGTTTATGATGGTTGTTGGTTCACAGTAATTAGTGATTATTTTTTGAACAATAGTGGTTATTACATCACATGATTGCACCATATTTTCAAGTTTAGATAAAGTCTATTGAATAACTTCAAAAGTAGTTGTGATATTTTGGGTGATTCCTCCACAGTGTAGTACAATGATCTCTATGGGTTCCACACTGACCAATATTGTCTCCCAGCACTGCTATTTGCACAATTAGGTGCAATAAAGTAAG